TGATTGGCCAGCTATCCAGTGCGTTGTGATTGGCCGAATACCTCAAGCGTGTGATGGAAATGTTACGCCCCTCACCATACTGTGATGCCTGCGACAACCACATGTGGCGACCCCGGGCTGGACTCCGCTTTGTTCACGGTGAAAGCCGATCCGGCGATCCACAGCACTAAGTTGATGTATTTCCTCAGAGACCAGCACGGATCAGCTCCAGGCATGACGAAGCGGATATCGTCCTCTTTTGGAAGACCAAACAAAGTAGTTTCGCTTTCACAACGAAGCACACAGCGTCTTCACGGCATGGCGGCGGCAACAATACTACAGCGAGAATAAAAGTTACGCCGCCTTTCTTTGTGTGAACATTTGGGCGGCGTTATGCAAATCTTCCCACATAGTGAGGTAGACATGTGGGGGCGTGTTAGAACGAGCCGTTTTAGGTAGGTGTGGCTGACTCTTAACTTTTATAAAGAATATCTCGTTGGATTTGAGACTTTAGTCTTTGCAACTTTACAGATCTTCTTTATGCACCAAGAGCTTGTAACACTCCAAAGAGAAAGAAACACTTGAAATTGCATCATATGACCCCTTTAACACACAAGTAGTAGTGTTGCAGTTAATGACACTAATTGATCTGGCTCTGATTTCTGCTTAACGAGGCTCAGCGAGAGTCATCAGACTGACAGGAAGAAGAAAAATCAATCTGGAAGTGATGCTGAGAGCAGTGCTGTGATTGGACCGAGGTCATCACATGACAGCACAAGCGTGATGCTGATCACTTCAACAAACAAGTCGTTCATACCGAGTTCTGCGATTACTGTCTACTTTTAGTTTGTCGCGCTCAAGTGGTTTGTTGGTTGTTGGTTTGCAGGTTTATTCTTGCGGAAATCAAATTAAAGCCAAAATGCAATTTAATCAATATCCACATTGGTATCAAACATTCAATACATTCATCTAGAAGCTGATTCTGACATTTTGGTCAAATAAATGCTTAAAAATGCATACAATATGCATTAAATGGTTATGTACGTAAATATGCATGACTGGAACGACTAGAGAAAGCATGTTTCTGCCACAGAATAAAAAAAAATAGTAATTGCAACTTTTTATCTCACGATTTCAGACTTTTTTTCAGAATTGCGAGATATAGACTAAAAATCGTAAGATATAAAGTTAGAATTGTGAAATACAAACTCAAAATCGTAAGGAAAAAAAAAGTCTGAATTGTTAAATACTGTAAGATATAAACTTTCAAAGGCTAACTTGTGAGACGGTAATTTGGACTTTATAATCTTTAAAAAGTTTCGAGTTTATATCTCTCAATTTGTACTTCGCAGAATTGCGAGAAAAAGTCAGGAACGTTAGATGGAAAACAAGTCGCAATTGCGTTTTTCATTTTGTCCGTACGATGAAGATGTTGCGGGAAAAACGAATAAAATGTAACAGTTTGTATCAAAACTTTCTCCATTGTCGTAAATATGACTCCAGAGGCCGTTCTGGTCCAGTTTCCGATTAGGAAGAGTTTTTACAGATGAATGCACATGAATGCAGTGAACATTATGGGTTTAATTTAGCTCCAGATGAAGCTGAAGCATCGAATGCAGTGCTGAAACATCACATCTGTGCACTGCAGTGAACTGCTGTGTGGTTATATTGCAGAGGTTTAGTCAGTATTGAAGGTTTTAATGGTAAAAACGCCATGCTGAATGTCTAGAGGAGCATTAGAAACGCCATCTGTGGACATTAGCTGCTGTTCGCATAGACCATCATGATGCTCACACGTATAATTATTTCTGAGAGTCGAGGGTAAACAGAGGCGATGTTTATTTCTGATAGGTTACGGTCTGACAAACACCGGTTAACGAAACAGCAGCTGATGAACTAGTAGAGTGAAGTTTGATGAACTTTGATGTTGGCTTCACAAAAACACGCGTCTGGAAGTTTAAAATAACTCTGAAAAGCTTGAAGGTTGAATTTTTTACTCAGAGAATTCAGAGAAAGTCAGTGTAATGTTACTAACATGTTTTAACACATTGCTAACATGTTTCTAGGATGATTTCGCATCCTTTAGCATGTTGCTAGCATGTTTTAACAAGTTGCTAACATTTTAACAAGTTGCTAGAATGTTTAAACACATTAGCATGTTTTAGCATGTTGCTAGCATGTTTTAACAATTTGCTAACATTTTAACAAGTTGCTAGCCTGTTTTAACATGTTTCTCGCATTTGTAATGTTTTAACATGTTGCTAATATGTTATAACTCATTGCTAGCATTTTTTAACAAGTCACTAACATTATTAGTACATTGCTAACGTGTTTTGCAAATTGTTAGAATGCTTTGACCAGTTACTAACATGTTTCAACATGTTAACATGTTTTAGCAAGTTACTAGCATGTCTTAGAATATTGTTAGCATGTTTTAACAAGTTGCTAACATATTTTAGTACATTTCTAACATGTTTTGCCAATTGCTAACATGTTTTAACGTGTTGGCATGTTTTAAAAAGTTGATAGAATGTTTTAGCACATTGTTAACATGTTTTGACAATCGCTAACATTTTTGTAATTCTAACATGGTTTAGAATGGTGTTAGCATGTTTTGCTAACAGTTTTATCACATTGTTGTAATATTATAACAAGTCGCTAACATGTTTTAGCACATTGCTAACATGTTTTGACAACACTACCATTTTTGTCAATCTAAGATGTTTAGAATGTTGCTAGCATGTTTTGCTAAACGTTTTAACACGCTGTTGCCATTTAATAATAACAAGTCGCTAGCATGTTTTAGCACATTGCTAACATGTTTTGCCAATCACTAGCATTTTTGTCATTCTAACATGGTTTAGAATGTTGCTAGCATGTTTTGCTAACCATTTTAGCACATTGTTGGCATTTTATAACAAGTCGCTAGCGTGTTTTAGCACATTGCTAACATGTTTTGACAATCGCTAGCATTTTTGTCATTCTAACATGGTTTAGAATGTTGCTAGCATGTTTTAGCACATTGCTAGCATGCTTTAACATGTTGTTAACATGTTTTGACGAGCTGCAAGCTTGTGTTAGCATGTTGTTTTAACACATGCTTTAGTTCGTTATGTTTCACCATGTTGTTAGCTTGATTTAACATTGATTTAACAGTCCTAGGCTAGTTGCTAGGATTCACTACACATGACGTCTCGCTCAGTTTGGCTCCTGAAGGACCTGAAGCAAACGCGGAGCGCGAACGTGCCCGAGAGAACATCCGCCGGCCAAAGGCCTTCTGGGAAGCTTCTGCAGGACACAGAGGTTGCTGCCCTTCAGTGAGAGGAAGTCTGTTCAGCGGGAGGTCTGTTTACGCTGCGAACAGACGGTCAGAGACATATGAGGCACAAACACAGGCTGCGTTAACATTACACTTCAGCTCTCAGACTCGCTGAGTTTGGATAAACGCTTCTCGGGATCTGCCGTTTGTGGCTCGTCGATGCCTTCAGCGCTCAGTGACGCTCGCTGGACAGATTGATCACCCCTATCCACATTCAGACCCCCCGGTGCTAATTGTTCTGTACGTCAGCTCAGAATGAGGCATGCTGGGATTGATGTGAGAGTTTCTGGAAAGAATAACATGAGATCCATTGATCCCTGATTCTAACCGGCTGCATTCGGTGGGAAAATGATAAATCTGCTCCAAACAGACCAGAATGAGAGCAGCTCCACGAACAAACATCGAGACCGTAATCAGTGAATCAATCCAGTGATGATAACGAGGCCTGCGTTTGTCTAACGACATCAACAATAACAGACATCAGAACATCAAACATTCACTCTCTTAATTCATGCTTCTGGTCTTATTATGAATGATTCATTTTCCAGAAATCAATGCACTGAAAAGAGCGAATTTCTTATGCAGCATTTTATTTAGTTTTCCAGTAAAAATATCTAAACATTATTAAATCAAGATACTTTTACTTAAGAAGCAAAATTACTTAAAATATAAAGCCTTGTTTTCTGAAAACGTATAAAAGATTTAAAGGGATAGTTCACCCAAAAAGGAAAATTGTCATTATTTACTCACCCTTAAGTTGATCCAAACCTGTATCTTTTTAGCATATTGCTAAAATATTTTAACACATTGCTAACATGTTGTTAGCATGTTTTGACAAGTTGCTTGCATGTTTTGGCTCATTGCTAGCATGTTGTTTTTAACGTTTTAACATCGCTAGCATATTTCAATATGGTTAGCATTTCTTAAAATGTTGTTAGCATGTTTTGACAAGTTGCTTGCATGTTTTGGCTCATCACCCTTAAGTTGATCCAAACCTGTATCTTTTTAGCATATTGCTAAAATATTTTAACACATTGCTAACATGTTGTTAGCATGTTTTGACAAGTTGCTTGCATGTTTTGGCTCATTGCTAGCATGTTGTTTTTAACGTTTTAACATCGCTAGCATATTTCAATATGGTTAGCATGTCTTAAAATGTTGTTAGCATGTTTTGACGAGTTGCTTGCATGTTTTGGCTCATTGCTAGCATGTTGTTTTTAACGTTTTAACATCGCTAGCATATTTCAATATGGTTAGCATGTTTTAGCATTGTTAATGTTTTAACATATTGCTAACATATTTTAACAAGTTGATAACATGTTTTAACAAGTTATTAGCATGTGTTAGCAAGTTGTTGACATTTTTAACACATTGCTAATGTATTTGAACATGTTGCTAGCATGTTTTGAAAAGTTGCAAACATGTTTTTACAAGCTGCTTGCATGTTTTGGCTCATTGCTAGCATGTTCCTAACAGATTGCTAGCATAGGCCAAGCACAAGTCAAAAATGAAAATATTGTCATCATTTACTCACCCTCAAGTTGTTCCAAACTGTATGTTTTTAACGTTTTAACACATCGCTAGCATATTTCAATATGGTTAGCATGTCTTCACAAGTTGCTAACATATTTTAGCACATTGTTAAAATACTAATGTATTTTAAAATGTTGCAAACATGTTTATACAAGTTGCTTGCATGCTTTGGCTCATTGCTAGCATGTTGCTAACATGCTAGCAATGAGTTTCAGAATATCTTAATTTGTGATATTTGATCTTATTAGATATTTGTTCACGTTTTAAGTTCAATCGTAATTGATTTTGACACATTTTTCAGAAAAATCGGTCATTTTGCGTCTGCAGTAAATGCCTCTTGATTTAATAATGTTTAGGTGAAAGAAGAACCTAATTTTTGCAGTGCGTTTGCCTTCATAATCCACCTCTGACATCACCAATTGCCCTTATTCTTCATATAGAGGCACTTAATAACGATCAATCAACCGTCTATCTGCTCTAGACCGAGTATCTGCTCTAGTCTCTTGACCTGACGATGGAGAAAGGTGGGTCAAACACAATGATTCATGACCGTGAAGTCTGGCCTTAAAATAGCACACGACGCGTCACCAAACCCAAACACAACACACAGAGCGACCCGTGCGTCCCGTCAGAATCAGTCCAGCGATCAGAGAGAGGCACGACACACGCCTTCACTGAAGGTCGACAGATCCGCTCTGCAAAGACAAAACATATGTGTCAGGATGATAAAGAAACAGCACTGTGTAAACAGACAAAGACGCCAGCTGAAAGACTCTAACTGAGATTTCTAGCTGTTTTTAGGATGAGGGAAGTTCTCCTTTTAGGCCCCGCCTCTGAGGACCAGATGATGTCATCAACATCACTGGACTGATTTTCTCCAAACGCGTACATCTGAAAGTTTTAGTCAAAATTTAACCCGCACCTAAACTCCACAAAGTGTTTAAAGCACTCAGACATCGACAGTATTTACACAAACAGTTACAAAGGAACGGCAAGAAACATCGAATTGAACCTGACAAGATTGAAATTGTATTTTCTCGTAAAACGTACTCCAGTAATCTTTAAGCTACAATTATTTTATTTTTTTTTGTAAAAGACAAAAACATCTCTTCTCTCGAAAGTGATTTCTCAGACTATTCCTCACTCTCGCCCGGTTTCACCCCAAAGGGTTTAAACATCCAAAATACCACAAAACATCCACAAAGTGTTTATTTTATTACACTTTATCTTTTGTGTCTTTAGATTTCGATTTCAATCCATATCATTACGTACACCATAAAAATGTTGGGAACCAAACAACATTGGACCCCATTGACTTCCACTGTACGAACAAAAACAAAAGCTATCTTTAAGAAAAAGATGAAAAGATGAAGATTATTATTTTTGGGGTGAACTAGTTTGGGGTGAAATAAAATGTACAACAAAAACATGAACTGATATAAAGTTTAGCTTAAACTTATTTTATAATACACCTATATATTTTATTATTTTATATTAACTTATTATGCATTTTATCATTTTAAATAAAACTTAAATTTAATTTATTATACATATTATTATTTGAAAAGATAAAAACTTTCTAAACTGTACTTTTGTTCAATTTAAGTACTAAAATAACTAAAACTAATAAATAAAACATTTATAAAATAAAACTGTATGAATGCAAAAAAATGACTAAAACCCTAACTAGATGAACGAGTGCCATTCACTCTCATATTATGTAACATTTGTTTTGTTTTATGTTTGCCATTCATTTCCTCGTCTGGAGGTTTTGGACGCTGAACAAACAGGTTCGATTGCGTTGATTAGCCGAGTGTTCTGCAGTAAACCAGTGCCATTAATCACCGCTGCGCTCCAGCTGTCAGCAGATGTTCCTCACACACACTCACACACACACACACACACACACTCTCATTTATTATACATATTATTATTTGAAAAGATAAAAACTTTCTAAACTGTACTTTTGTTCAATTTAAGTACTAAAATAACTAAAACTAATAAATAAAACATTTATAAAATAAAACTGTATGAATGCAAAAAAATTACTAAAACCCTAACTAGATGAACGAGTGCCATTCACTCTCATATTATGTAACATTTGTTTTGTTTTATGTTTGCCATTCATTTCCTCGTCTGGAGGTTTTGGACGCTGAACAAACAGGTTTGATTGCGTTGATTAGCCGAGTGTTCTGCAGTAAACCAGTGCCATTAATCACCGCTGCGCTCCAGCTGTCAGCAGATGTTCACACACACACACACTCACACACACACACACACACACACACACACACACACATTCCTGCAGGATGTTTTAAGTGGAAGCAGATGAAATCTGAGCTCCTTTATGTAATGGATTCACTGCGCTCGTTTGTTTGCATGTGAAACGCTCGACTGAGGCCTGACCTCCAGTGAAAGAGAATTCACGCGCGTCTCTGTGGGCCGCAGTGCCGCCGCCACCGCTATTTTCGTTCAGTCTTCAAGTGCAGGATGGAGAGGACGTGAAGGAAGGTCATCAGCTCTCCCACACGCTCATTATTTCAGACAGCAGCACAAAAGAGCCGCACTCATTCAGCTTCTGCCGAGCTGAGATTCACTCAATCTCATTCACAACACCCACATCCACCCCAATCTCATATCTGTGCTGTATCTGCGTCATGCGCATTCAAGTCAGTGTTTTCAGCAGAAGCACAGCACTGGTTCATGGCTGGTTTTTAAAATCCCAAAGGGAAAAGGGAATGGAAAAAATACTTCCGGAACCAACAGCGCTGGAAAAGCGGCTCTATTACAAACACAAATAAACAACTCTGACGGCACGACTCTTACACCGCGTCTACACCGGACGAGACTTGTATTTTGTGTCAGTGCATCATAAATAGAACGATGCATCAGTTTACCGTCGGGTATTTGTCGTGACGTGTCAGTGCAGACAGCATCACTGATTATAATGGGTTCTACTGTAGGGTGTAGACACGGTGTTACAGTGAATTCACTCCATCTGAATCAGGATTAAATTAATATGAATATAGTGATGGTTGATGTTTGTGTGGTAAGATTCTTCAGACAGCAGCTGGGACGGTTGAACTGACCTGAGACGGTCGCTCCGTTATGTAGCGTTCTGACTCTTACCTTTATCCTCTGAGTCTCACAGCGTCGCTTTCTCTCTGTGTGTCTGTGCAGCTCTGGTGGTTCGATTCCTGACCAAACGATTCATCTGGGAGTACGACCCGACACTCGGTGAGACACACACACACACACACACAAATAAACACACACACACACACATACACTCTCTCTCTCACACACACACACCCACACACACATACTCTCTCTCTCTCTCTCTCTCTCTCTCTCTCTCTCACACACACACACAAACACACACACGTTCACATAAACACACACACACTCTCTCTCACACACA